AAATGTTAATTTAGTTAGGAGCAATGTGTTTCTCAGATGTTATTTAAACATTTTCTCTACCAAGCCATGTTATTTTAAACAACTGGTAAGAGAATCACTTGCGGAGGTTTCTGCTGAACTGAAGATTAATACTGTTTTCTCCAGCACGAGACATTAAAATTCATCCTCTAGAAACCAATAGAGAACACTGACTACTCTTCTGGGAAAATGCAAGCAATTCCATAAAGTCAGAGGAGGTCTACATTACAATTGTCATATAAAATTCAGACTACTGAAATCATAAAAGACAAAACAAAACAAAAACACTTTAATACAGGTGAATGTTAATGCCAAACAAGAAAAAGGCAGTGAAGCTGCAGCTCATCTGGGTGACTTCAACATAACAGAACTGCATATATACAAGGAATATAAAATGAGGGAAGAATCTGAATATGAACAAAACTGCAATTTAAATCAAACAGTAAACTGACTAGAAGGGAGGAGGGAAAATGCAAACAACTAGCTGGTAACAAACATTAGCTATAGCAGATGTGATTGCTATTAGCTCTAAATTCATATTAAATTAAAGCCAGCATCTGTTCTCACAGAGATGGCCTTGGTCATCTCAAAAGAAAGGTTAGTTTGGAAAATAAAACATTTTAAAAAAGGATTAAAAGCAGGGTTTCAGAGAGGTAGAGAAATCCGATGTCTGATAACCACGGACAAATGTTCACAGTCCTGGATGGTCATTCTGCAGCTCTGAATGAGCAGCATTACATTTCACAGGAGCTGGTGAAGATCCTGCATGTAGAAGTCAACAAAACCTTTTAACAATGTGAATGTAAGATTCAATGATTTGACTTCTTTCTAGACAGTCAAAGCTGAGCAAGCAGTAAAGTAAATGCTGGTGACAAATGCTGAGAAAAGGAAAGCAAGGTATTAAAGATTTCCAAATAATGTGTAGCATTTAACTCTGAGCAGCACTTACACAAAGAGAAACAAAATGATTACAATAGCAGGCATCATAAAATACTGGGATCCAAAAGAATGAAAGTAGTAAGAACGACTAACTCAGTTAAAAAATTCAATCACAGTTACCAAGGCTGGATGTATTTTCAGAAAACTGAGGAAAAGGATGATGAAGGGATTACAAATTGTAAAACAGGTGGTAGGAACTATCATCAGAGAAATCACAAACAGAAAAGAAACTGTCATCTAATCAGAGTGCTGAGAGCTGAGGAATCAAAAATGAAGTGGAGAAACGTGCCTGGCTTGGACTTCTTAAAAACGTTCCTACCCACTGACTGAGTAATAAGACTGATCAGAACTACTTAACAGCAGGAAAACATTACAATAGAAGAGGTAAAGTGACCCAACTGTCAGTGTTTGGTATCCTGCTATTCCCATCGCACCATCAGTTATATAGTACTGGCTATCTAAATTTCTTTTAATAAATAGTATGCTGAAATAACTGTTTAAAAGACAGTCATAACAAACTTGGTTTAGGGTCATAAATTCTGAAAAGAATTAAAGAGTATATCTAAGAGCTTACTCCTCAGTTTGGGACTTGTGGTGAAATATTTTAACCACCCTTATCTTAAGCAATATACGTATGGTTTTGAACACCCATCTACTTTATTTCTAGAATATCGTACAGACAGATTTAAAGCAAAGATCAGTTGCTAAAGTAACAAGTCAAAGGTAAGAAGCTAGATAGCTTTGTTTAGTGAGGATCTATAATAAACTTATGTAATTACTTCTCACATTTTAATTTTGCTGTAGTAAAGTTTAAAGTGTAACTAACAGCAATGTAAAACTTGAAGTAACTAGTTTACTGCTTAATAGTGTGCAGCAAGGAAATTTTTAATGAATCAATGAGACCAAAATGAAAACTACAGCAAATTAATCCAAAATACAATTATATACGAAATCTCTGAGGACTATGGGAAATTAGGAAATAGGGAGCTTTTAGTAAATATTTTGATTTTGTGACACTGCATTGTGACTAGCCATTGGCTCTGTCAAGCATGTAACAAATCTGTAACAGAGACTGCATGTGTATCAGGATTGCTCAACCTTCAGTGACAAGTGAAAGCTCTTACAAGCAGATGGCTGGGGGACTGTAAGAAACCATTCTGGATTTATGTCAGTATCCCAGTGGATAAGGGCGTACTCTGCAATGAGTACTAATTAATAATCTTTCCAGGAACACTAACAAAGAACCAAGGATTGAACACACGTGGAAAAATTAGCTATTCTTTCTCAAAAAGCTGAGTTTTCAAATCAGGGTTTTCGTGTGCAGTGGGACACGTGCATTGATTCTTCATCTATCTTACCTTTTTCTAGTCTGTGAAGCAGTCCTTAGAGAAAAGTTTTAGTTGAGATGTTTCTAGGAAAGTAGTTTTCCAATGCATTGGCTTTCTTAGGACTGAATTGGAAAAGTAGTGCAGCACTACCAGAGAGAGTACTGACACTTCTTCTGCTACTTCACTTGGACATGCCAGCTCTACCACTACAGTTCTACTTCCTGGGATGCTTATGGAGTACCTGAAAAATAAACATGTATTCTCAAGTGTCTTGCTACTTTTGGGAAGGCTGTGCAAGAACTGCAGGGGATATGCTACTACTATTTACTTCTCCCAGCATATTGCCATGTCCCCTGCACAAACATAATCCATGCAATTTAGTCCTTACAATTCAGAAATTACGTCTTTATGAAAAATTGTAATACTTCCATTACAGTAGAGAAATCTCTTATTAAACCTCTGACATTAACAACTTGATCACAGGGGTACAGGATGCAAGTTATAATGACAAAATTGGCTAGCTAGTGTAATGTAGTTGAGTGTAGATTATTATAGGACTTGTAGAAAAAGGGAATTTGTTGCTACCATATTTTCTGTGTGTTTTATACTGACAGTAAATATCTCTTGTTTCGCTCTGTTGGGTTGACATATAGAATCTTCCTGTCATTAGCAGGTACTTCTTGCCAGTATACTGGTTTATGAGTTTTCAATGATAAATCAGTGACATGAAGTTCTTTCCCATTTTTGTTGACTGAGTTGCTGTTTGAACATTAAATAAAATTTCATTTACTCTTACAACAATATAGATAATATCTGAAAATATTATTATCCCAGAAGGTGGAAACTACCTGTTAACCTCTCCATGCAATAATAACTACCTTCAGTCTGTATTTGAAAAGACAAAACCAAACTAAAACATGTAAGCATGATGCTGACATGCTGTTCTTGTGTAATGTCTCCTATTGTCTTCCTAGCATGTCATTTTCATCATTTGCCTGAGAAAGTGATAAATGCCATTACACAATAAACATTAGAAATGTTATCCCCCCCAAAAAAAGCTGAAAAGATATTAGTTTCTATATTTAAACAAAAGAAATATTGTTCCTACCAGAAATTGAAAAGTGAAGATGGGATAGGGGATAGAAGAAGGACTAGGAATTTGCCTTTAGGTTTCAACCTATTCAGGATTGAAAATAAATTTAAAATAAACTTAAGTAATGATCTTCAAATCGTGGACTCCTAGTGTTAGCAACTTGTTTAAGTATCTGCACAGTAAAAATGGTTGGGCAGTGTTTTATTTCAATGACAGTTTTGCCCATGAGAACTGCAAGATCTTATTCCATCAATAAAATTGGAATTACTGCCATGTATAAATGACAGCCTGAATCTATGTGTATCAAAGAAGCTCATGGCATTAGAAGAAAAAAAAAAAAAATTGGTCTGGAATTGGAGCTGATGAAACAGAGGCACCCTAAATAACATTTAAGAATTACTCTGACAAGAGATTCCTTTGATATATGGGTAATGCTGCTAACTTTTAGATTAAAAATATTAGTAGGGGTGTTCTCAGAAGTCAACACCAGATACTTGAATAATTCTCACAGATGTTAGTACTTTAAGTAAAAGAGGTACTGTCATTCCTACAAAATAAACACATAATAGGATGGAAATAAAAAAAAGCCTTCCAAGACGGTAAACACAGACTCTTGCAGTAAGTACATGGAAAACTACACTGAGAAATTTTAAAGTTGAGGAAAGAAGTCAGATTGTAAATTATAAGGAAAAGGGGAGTTGGTAAATCTGTGATTTAACCCTGAGGATAAATGTCCTAAATGATGAGATAGTTAGGAATGTAAAGCTGGTGAAGGAGACAGAGTACTCAGAGTGAAAACATAAAAACTAAGGAATTTTGAGTTCTCTTCAGATTCAAGGCAAAGAATGTCTGTGAAATTTCTAACAGGGATATGGACAATAAAAAACCTCAGTAAACAAAAGCCAGGATGTTAAGTTCAGTGATCAAACTGGAAGTCATAAAAACCAAACCAGAAATCAAAAGCAAGCATCAGATGGCAGTTCAACCATCGTAACAGAAAAGGGGATGTGGCAGGCAAGAGTAGTTCAACCAATGGAACAGAAACGGGGACATGGCAAATTCTTCATTATTGCAAATCCTTAAATCATGACATAATATGCTTATTGTTCTGAGCTTCTGGACTGCGGGTGCCGACCCTCGCCTTTCCCCAGTGTCAGAGAATGCAATCAGGGAGCTGTGAGGCACTGAAAATTTACTGAGCCCTTCCCTACTCTTTGCACACCCTTGATCTTCAAGGTCAAGTAACTTCCATCAACCTTTCAAAGCTTTCCCAGATTATACAGATTTACTGTCATCAATAATTCTTCAACTATTTTATAATAAATTGTGAAAATCTGACTTAAGTAAGAAACTTCAACCCAAGAAACTCTTAGGATGGCTCATCTAGATCTGGTCACTGTATTTAGTGATTGAATGGTGAAACAAATACATCATTATACAGATTAGCTGGTAAATGTGCTGTTAAGTGGCTGTAACTCTTATAAGTAACTGTAATGAAAATGAAGCATGGAACTATTTTCATGAGGAATAAAACCTTAACGTTCAGTTAGGAACTTATTTTGTACTCAGCTCTTCCTGTAGGATGTTATTACTTCTACCCTCGACAAGTTTTGTGCATAGTGACTGCACATTTGCTGCTTCTGTCTTCATTTCTGCTTTTATCAGCAAGTTATGTTTCTTGTGCTGTTTAGATGACTTTTGTATCAAGATACCAATGCTGAACTCATGGAGCAAGCCATTCATTAGTGATTCCAATAGTTTATTTTAAAAACCTCTTAAGTAAATTCACCAATGTATTAAATGTGCATGATAAAGTCTTAAATTAACTTGTATATATTGCAGCTAAATGTAACAGGCCTTATAAAGTTTAAATATGCTATCTTAATCCAGACACTGAAAACTCGTAATTACATTGTGTAACCTGGAAGCTTGCTTATTACAAGTTCACTGATGTCTTTGTATTGATTAGGAACACCTAGTTTTCCCAGAAAGTCATCCTCTTTGTCTGATGTACTGTTTTCCAGGACACTAAATTCAAGATTAGGCATGTTAGATGGCAAGTAAGAGCTAACTTGAGTTACTGACTGGCTTTTTCCTGCAGAGGTCTGCCCCTTCCCTACATTCAAATCAGTATCAGAGGTATCTTGCTTGCTTCTCAGTGTAGATACTTCTTTAATAGGCTGATCACTCCTGTTCTCTTCCATACTGCTCTGTTGGGCTTCCTGTTCTTCATCTAGTAACGATGCCTCCACTTGAGCAAGGTTAAGTGAATCAACAGATTCATCACTAGTTCTCTTGCTGTTTTTTAAGTCATGGTTTCTCTTCCAAGACTGCACTGGAGATGAAGCTGAAGGAACTGGCAAAAGATCTGAAGTACTTTCAGCTCTTTGACTTGTCTTTGAAATTCTGGACCTGCTGGATTCCAGCTCTGTATCTGACCAACCTTGCTTTGGGTTTTCAAGCCACAGAGGTTCAGGACTGCTGTCAAGAGCTTCTGAGTCTCTACCTGTACACTCAGCACTGGTGAAATCTTCTGAATAAATTGTGTTCTCAGGACTAGCAACAAAGTCATCTGAGTATATGAATTCAGAGTTGTTTTCAACACTCCTGCTGGAACTTGGTTTGTGATCACTTGCAACAGATGCATCATCGTGCTCCGTAGTTTTACGATGGATTAAGTGTATTGCTTCCTCATTACTTCCCTTTGCATTATCATCTGTTGGGAAAGCTGCTAGGAGTTGGGCTATCACATACTTTTCCTTGTGAGCAGATTTTAATACAGTTTCCTCCAGTAAGGGGGCTGTAGTTACTTTGCATGGATGTTCTTTGCTCGCGATTTCATCGTTCTTCAAGACACTTGCCTGTTTCTGCAGGTCAGGGGACACATCTCCTGTCACAGAAATGTACTCTGTGAGAGCACTGTTTTGTAATGAAGCCTCAACAGTTTTATCAAACTGATTATTCTGCTTTGAGCTGTCTCTCTTGCTACAATGCCCGTGAGAAACCACTTGCTGTTCTCCAGCATTTCTGAGCAGCTTTCTTTTGGCTAAAAGGCTTCTTTCCCTCAGCATCTCCATTTGCTTTTTTCTGTACTGCTCTCTCCTCTCATGAATTATCAGCTTATCAGGGTTGGTCTGCTGCAACCGTAGCCTCAGTGTATTCGTCAGCCCATACAACAATTTCTTTCTGGGAGGTCTGTTTTCCTTAGTTTTGCAGTTCCTTTCAGAGCCCATCTCTCCCTGGTGTGCAGCTTTCTGAGGTTCTCTCCTGGCCCGAGAAGACCCTGAAGAGGCGGCCTCTTGGTGGCCTTGCTTGAATTGTGGGCTGGCAGCTCCTCTGCTCCCACCAGGCCCCACAGGCGCCTCTGCAGGCCTAAGAGCAGAGGAGCGCCTGGGGCTGGGGGGCCGTGAAGCCACACCACCACTCCCTGGGGCCTGGTAGAGCCAGGCAAGATGGGGGTGGACAGCAGCAGGCGTAGCGCTGTGGGCGAGCACCGACAGCTCTGCCAGCAAGGCACGGAGTAGCGGCAGCTGCCCCAGCGTGTTGTGGAGCTGTTGAGGGCTGGCGGGGTGCAGCAACGAGGGCCCACCCCTGGGACGTGGGGGGCTCTGGTCTTCATCTTTATCTTGCAGCCTCCAGGCCTCGACACGTTCCCATCGCCCTGTGGCTGCTGCTGGTGGCCGCAGACAAGGCTGAGCAGGTTCCCGGCTGTAATAGAGCATGGGAGGGCAAAATGTGTTGCCTTCCAGCTCCTCACCCTCCTCCTCCTCCTCCTCGCCCACCGGCTCACGGGAGGCGGCTGGTGGCGTGGCAGCGCGGGGGCTAGCGGAGCTCGGCGGGGGCGGCTCCTCGCCGGCCTCCAGGCTGGTGAGGCGGTAGCCCAGGACCAGCTCCCCGACGGGGCGCCCCGCGGCATCCCGCAGCGGGAAGCGGCCGCGGCTCAAAGGGAAGTAACTA